ACAAAAAAAGCTCACTTTTTGCTATTATCCAATTTTTTTTCCTAATCATTGAAACCACAAATCATAAGTGGATTTTTTCTGTTTCATGCAAAAAGTCTATAAGGGCTTTCCAGTCAACTACAAATGTAGACACTGTCTTTTCTCTAATCAAAGAAGTCAATTTAGCCATCTCTGCAAATCATCAAACACAAACTTTCATAAGAAAAATCCATTAATCTTTCTATAAGTTGTTTATAAAAAGTCCCTTTATTTTCATTTGGGGCATAAATTCCCAGAACCATCATTTTAACTCCATATAACTCCAACAAATCTACCATGTTCATCAGTTAATACAAGTTCTGGGTTTAGCTGAGGGTTAATATACAAAATAACTCCATTTCACTTTTTAATATCTGTAGAAATAAATGATTTGCCCAAAGATTTATAAGTCAAATATTTAAAATCTTTTTTCCTGATATGAGTCTCTTGTAGTCATATGATGTCTTCCTTTAATTTTTTCAAATAATGAAATCTTTCTTTCCTCTTTTGAGGAGCATTGCTTGATTTATATTCCATGTTAAACATTTGTAACCCATACTCAATCCAAAAAAATTAGAAAAATCCATACCTGTAGTGACTGGTTCAGTATCACCTGTTTCCAATTCCTGTTGCATCTGTTGTGACTGTTGTGTAGTTCCCTCTGAAACCTCCATTTGTGTCTCCTCCAGTTCTCCTTTATATCTTTCTAAAAAATCTCTCACTTTCTGAACAGAATGCAATCTAAATTTTTGCTGTTTAAAAGTAAAAATCACACCTTCCAATATATCCATCAAAATGGGATTTTTTTCTGCTTTAATTTTTCAGCCAAGGAGTATTCTTTTCTCTTATGCAAAATTCTAATAGGAATCTATTTCAAAACAATTATGTCAGTATTATCCATTTTCAATCTTGTGTTAAAATGGTGCTGTAAGACTTGATCCTTTGTCTTATTTCTAACAAAATGTACCAAAATATCCCTTAGGACATTACTCATTCTGGCATATCTGCATATCTCATTGTATAAATCTTATCAATTTCTGCATCCATATCTTCCTCTTCCAGATCCAAAGAAATTGCCCAAATATTAACAAGCCCTCTCTAATATTTTCATCTAGAACCTCTGAAACAGCTCTGACTCTCAAACAGAATTCTTTCTCTCTCAGTTCTAGTAGAGCCAGATTATCCAATTCTCTTTCCAACTCTCTGCCTTGAATCTCTATCTTACTGCCTAAAAGTTCCACTTCATCATTAATTTGTTTTACCTCTCCAGATATTTGCTTTATAGAACTTTCCATCTTTTTAACATCTTCTCTCATCTCTTCTCTTAACTTTAAAAATCTTTTATCCCTTCTTTTTTCAAAATCATCCATTTTATTCCCCATCTGATCAAATTTATTTCCAATCTGTTCAAAGCGTTTCTGAAGTATATCTTTTTCCACAGGCTGCTCCAGGGAGCCTCTTCTGCCCTATCTTCCCATTTTTCTAATACCCATTTTTAATCTAACAGTAAAGATGTCTCAGGCAGGCAAAATAAAAAGACTAGCATGTTATTTTTTCCCCCTCTTGTTAGTAGCTCTCGATGACTTCAGTCACAACAGGTATCATCTCCATGGTAACTAAATGTCACAGTCTGATTCTTTACCTAATCTTTTGTTATGCAGATTCCACCAATTCTTTAAGGATAAACAACAAACATTCCCATGTCAAGCTAATCTCTTTAACTGGCTTAGTGAAAAATTATACCAAAACACTTTCACCAAAAATAAAGATGATAAAAATAAGAAAAAGAAAAGACTATCCCCTTTTCTGTTTTAAAACTTTCTTGTATCTTCTCTTAAGCTTTTTGCAAAGAATTCTTGAATCTTTAAATCAGAGTCTCCCTTTCTTTATTTTTTTGTAATCTCAAAAGAAGGTTTTTTTCCTTTTTTTCCTCATGGCAAAGAGTCTTACCTTTGCCACAGAGGAAATCTCTCTTCATTTGTAAATTAATTACCAAAGTGCTTAAGAGATGGGGAAGGCAAAGCTTTATGTCCATATCAGCTCCACCGCAGTTAGGAGTATAGATGGAATCCAAGACTCCCAGCAGCTCAACTCCTGAGTTGGCTGCAAAAACTGGATCAAAGGGAGATTGTGAGAAACCATATGTGCTCTGGATGGCGGTTTCTTCTGAGTTAACTGCAGAAATGGAAAAAAAATTACATTCAGCTTTGTAATTGATTTACTTTCACTTTTGGATTATAAATTTTAAAAAATGGCAACCCCTAGAAAAGCTGCAAAGCCGGGTGAAGGAAGAAGAAGTTCGTTAGAGCAACCAGCAGACATTACTCCAGAAATATTACAAAAATTGTTTGAAAAGATGGGAAAGCAGGTATCTGAATCTGTCAAATCTATTAACTGGTGAGCTGGTTGTGTTTGAAGAGGGAATGGAAAAAAGGTTTGTAAAAATGAAAGAGGAGATGAAAGAAGAAGTTATAAAAAAATGAAGAATCTATAGGGCACCTTACAGGAGAAGTTAAACTAATTAATTACAAAGTGGAAATTTTAGAAACTAAAACAGAAATAATAAACAGAGAGATGGAAAAGGATTTAGACAATCTAAATCTAAATCTTTACTGGAATTGAGAGAAAAATAATTCTGCCTGAAACTTAGATCAGTTCCAGAGGATCCAGGAGAAGACACTAGAGAAAAGGTTGTTCAGTCTTTAACAAACTTTCTGGAATGGGATGAAGATGATATGGAGGAGAAATTGATAAAGTTTACAGAATCAATATGTGATTTGCAAAATTAAGACATGTACCAAGGGATCTTGTGTACTTTGTCAGAGAGAAGATCAGAGATCAAATTTTGCAGCAACATTTTATTACCAGACTAAAGATTAATAATGCAGATGTGATTGTACTTAAAGAAATTTTAATTAGAATACTGCACAAATGGAAAGAGGATATCTTTTTGACTGATAAACTTAAACAAAAGAAGATACCATTTTGATGGGATAAATTGGAAGGAATAATATTCACTTTTAAACAACAGAGGTTCAGATTGAACTCACTCCAAAAAGCAAGAGCATTTTTTAGAAAAGTTTAAAGGGGAACTGGAAGAAATGCAAATGAAAATGACAAAGGGCCATAGCACTCTGGACCCTGCATAGCTACAACAAGAAATTGAGGGAGAGACCACCACATTAGGTGCTACAGTTATAATGGGATTAATGGACAGTCAATGGACAATCAAGAGTCATGAAAGATTATTTTTATATATGATTACTGCTGTAAGACTATTAGATGCACAAAAATGGAAAGATTCTGAAATACCTACAATGGAGGAATGGTTGATGAAGATGACAGAATTAGCAGAGATGGCAAAATTGACTTGTTTGATTAGAGAAAGATCAACAACTACATTTATCAGTGACTGGAAACCCCTTATGGGCTTTTTGCTGAAAAAAAGAGAAAAATGAACTTGTGATTTATGGGTTTGAAGATTAGAGAGGGTAGCTTATGGAAAGAAGGAAATTATGATGTAACCTTAGAGAGAGAGGTTAAAATATAAATTCATTTATAACTACTGTCAAAAAGATCAGAAGCCGCTTCTTTATAATCTTTTCTTTTTCTTCTTTTTCTGTTTTCTTTCTTATTCACTATTCTTCCTTATTTTTTTTGTTTCTTTTCTAATATTTGTATTGTTTTTATCTTGTTAAAATTTTCTTCAATAAAAATTATATTTAAAAAAAATCCATGAAAGCTGAGGTTGTTTGCATCATCAGCAACATCTAAATTCATAAAAATCTAATTCATAAAAAGTTTATTATTCTGGTTTGGAGGACAAAAACAGACCAAACTTTCCTGATGTGTAGGGAAAGCTGAAGTATGAATTCCACTA